TACTTCTTTCTTTTAACGTGTAACGTGTTCTACCACTAAAACTGGTGTAATTTAAACACAAATTGTGGCTAAATGAAGATAATCAAATAAAGAATAGCAAAAATAATGCCTCATAATGAAATAAGTACATCAAGGGAAAACAAAAGTATGCTTTCCCCCTGTCTAACATTCCCCCTATTATTGGTTTCATAAAAAAGCTGTACAGACACATCTACGTACGTTTATACAGTTTACCGTTTACTTCCTCTGAGGTTGATCTGTTACAGTCTGCAGGCTGTGAGGGATTGAAAAGCAAATATAAATTTCTTGCTCGTGCACACAGTCTTGGAAAATAAATCTGATTCTGAGTCTGTATGTGTTGCTTAAGAAACACAATTTAAAGATATGGCCCAGTAAATTAGTCTTAATCTAAAAGGCCACTGACCTCTGGGTAGCATGATTCATATTTTCAGCACAGGATTTCACAAAATACAAGTTGTTGTTTTTTTGTCTTGTAAAACTGCAATATTATAGGATCAATAATATTGATTCTATTTTATATCTATTCGTTTGTTGACATCACAAGAGACACATCGTCAAAGTTGATCAGCTGTTTATTAGTAAATATTAAAATGAACAAGCAGCTTTTTACTAAATTTCAACATAATTTTTTAGGTTTTCCAGTTGCAGTTGGAGAGCTTTGGACACGATTCTCATCTGACTCATTGTTGGAAAGAGTTTTACATCAATGACCCCAAATTCATAGAGGATATTGTTGTGGATGGTACAGTTTAAGAAAACAGCGACGGTGATATTGATCATCTTCAACACTTTTGTGTGTATTCCTGCATGAATTTCTCCTTTTGGTTGAAATCCATCCACTCCTAAATTATTTTCTTCTTTTTGGCACTGCTTGAAATGGTGGGAATGATGCGGTTTATGATGTCTGCCTGAAAATGATCTGTTGAAATGCTGAAAATGGACCAAATGTTTTCATAGCAACTTGACCCATAAAAGAAAGGTCCATCTCTTCGGAAATGCACGGTTGAACCTTGAGTTGAACAGAGGATTGAATCTTAAAATATACGTTACCAGGAAACTAATGAAGCATAGAGGTGTCTAAAAATAGGCTAATTCACCATATGTCAAAACTAGCATGTCATTTGATGAATGTGTTTGTCATTTTTGAAGAGCTAATTAAACAAATAAGGGGATACGACAACAGTGAGTGATTCATAAAGATTCTGCAGACAATATCATTTCATGATTTATTGACATTTACTTTTTTCCACAATAGTTTTGCTTGATATCAATATTTTCCATAAAGTTTTTTTTTATTATTTAAATTACATTTATGTTTTAATCACATACACATTTATTGTTTCATTTTCTTATTGCAATAAACAACAGTAGCCAGAATGAGTCAGGTATTGCTACAGTTTGCCATACAAACTTTTTATCCCTCTGATAATGAAGTTCAAAAATAATTTTATTGGCAAGACAAAATTACACCAAAGCCTCTCGGGCTCTCTCGTTCTCTGGTTCTGCTCGGAGAGAGACTGAGGGCAGAATAAGGCTAAGGCTAGGAGCCTAAACACAGCTAACATGAAGTCCAGAAAATGGGAATCGGTTATTTATTTCCCCGAATGTGAAAAATGAGGATGATCTTAATGGCTGTTTCCACTTTGTGAACATATCTAGGACAATTTGAACATTTCAGTCATGCTACTAGAATGACTGGCCTAACAGGGATGCAAACACTTTGAAATAGCTGAGTTACAAGATCAGCTCCATGATGAAAATCCTTTTCCGATTCATCAATCTCCTCAAATCAAACAGGATTTTTGTCTCGGTCACGAAAGTCAGGGCACTTTTTAGCTCCAGGTCTCCTACGCACGCTACCGGTGGAGGGTGAGGAGATCCCATCACACACTTGAATATACATGGTACACACACCAACAGGAAGGCAAGCACAAGTCTTGGAACAGCATCTCACTCACAAAATGAACTCAAAGATTACTTTCCACAACAAAAAGAGCACAATGGTGGAAGCTGACACTGAGGCAACTTCTTCTTTAAGTAATGGCATTAATAATATTCCTCTGCATTTTCACTTGGGTACGCTACTCACAACCAGGGAGAAAGAAAAATGCAACGTAGGGAATCCAAATAAAAAAAAAACAAACAAACAAAAAAAACAGCCTGTTGAACAGATCGTCGAGCTGAAATCCTTTTACACCTGGTGTTGTACCCTGATCCCCAAACAGAGATTCCCATAGTTTAAAGGCCCTTTAATATGAAGGGTCGGTCTCTGTGCTGAGCTATGCATCCGTCTTTTGCTACTCCTCCCTTGTACCATTGAGGGTCCAAGACTCTTATGGAAGGAAAAGAAAAGGTCTGTGATCTGGCATGCTCCCACTCTAAACAACTCCAGACATTGACGTAACAATGGTAACAAGTCACTTTGATATAAATTGCTCATTGCATTGCAATATTCAGACAAAGGTAAGACATTAGAGCTCATTGTTTCTCAATGATAGGGCACAGTGTACATCTTGTTCAAAAAAACGGGGTTTCAGTTTCACGCTGTCGAGCAGGAGCCACTTGTTGCTAAGCTACCTTTATCTGGCTCCTCATCCCATTTGTAATTCTGTATTCCAGTTGTCTCGGAAGTCGGAGCTCTGATCTGGGAATAGCGTTGTAGCTGAGTCGGGAATACCACTGCTAAAAGTTGGAAAACCAGTTTTTCCAAATAAAATCGAGGTACTCATACCGGTACTTGAGGCTTGTAGCAGTATTTCTGATTCATGCCACAGAGTTGCAGTTGTATAAGCTATTTTCATAGCCATATGAGGATATGACAGGATATGACATATCCAACCTATAACCTGCTGCTGCTGAATGACACAGATGAAAGTTATCACTTTATGTAGTTGAGAATTGACCCCTTATATTTTTCGCCCAGCAGTCGTTTTAGATCATTTATCCAGCAGCAATGACCCCTTCAGGTGATGCTCTTGTTGTATTTCCAACCAACTTTGGAAATGCAACATTTCTTCATACCTCCAAGTGTGAAGGAAATGCTTCAAAGCTGCAAGTCAGATAATTTGCAAATGTTTTGGCACTAGTTTCTGTGTGTGGCGCTACCAGTGGAAGCCAATTGTGATATATTTTTTAAAAATTTTTTTCATTTAATCACTAAAAGATGTTTGTTACAGTGTTATGTGCCACCGATTAAACGAGATAACTGTCAGAAATGCAAATAAACAATTTGCACAAGTTATGATTAATGGGATGAATACACACCGACTTTCCAAAATCGGACTGAAGAGGACATTCTGGCATTCCAGACATTTCTGCTGAAGCCCAATTCCAGCACTGAGAGGGAAAAAAAATGAATGTTGTCCTGTGATTATGAGATAGTTCAGTCATAATTATGAGATACTATCTAACAATTATTGCTAATTCAAAATGATGACTTATAAGTCAGATCTTCCAACTTCCGAGAACAAATAGAACGCACAAGTGTGTCAGGCTCGTTTATGATATCCACCAAAATGATTCCAACCCCTTCTATTCACTTCCTTCTCATGGATGAATTGATAAACGTTTCCTACCTACAAAAATATTATATGTTTTTTTTTTTTTTTTTTTTTTTCCCCGCCCCCCCCCCCCCTCCCGATTTTGCTCATTTTTTCATGTGCAGTATAAACACAAAGCAACAGTCCAAACCGAGATAAAACAAAGTGCTCACCAGTCTTTGTAAAAGAAAACAAATCATGGTGCGTGTCATGGCTTTCATTTGTAAGACAGGAAGTACCAATAGTTGCCTCGAGCTGGACGTCTGAGCTTCTGCTTCTGGGCACCTTTACTGTATCGTATGACTCCAGCTCAAGATCATCTTAAACTAAGAAAGCATGCTTTTCATCCGGTTCCCTTTCAGTTTATTGTCTGTCAGTTGTCCGACGCACATTTTTTTTTTTTTATTATTGACCCGAACAAACAAACCTTTGGGTATCAGCCAGGTGAGGAGGAGGAGGAGAAAGAGGAGGACTACGCAGGAATGAAAGGGTTCAACCCAGTGATGCTAAAGTTTGTCCCTGAAGAGCCTTATTGTAAGGACGCATGCAGGAACAACATAAATAGATCCGAACACGAGGTCAGGTTTAAGTCATACCTGACCACCTACACAGTAATTCAGCCTGAGAGGAAAGAGCGCGGTGGGTGATGATGTAAACGGAAAAGAGAACGGCAACTATAACCTGGGCTCTTTTCAGTACCACAAACCACAACACTATAGAGAACATCCTTTCCTTGAACATATTATGAGCTGTATAGGACTGTCATGTGTTAAATACAGCAGTGCGGCATGTTCACAAGCTTGACTCCAGCTGTTTCCGCCCTCCCCATTCGTCTTCTTCGACGTCGTTTTCTGACCGTTATGAAAGCTGGCAGACATGCCCTGCAGCAGTGTTAGTTGGTGCGAACTATTTTAAAACACAGATTTGTTCTGGACTATATGCGTGTGTGTTTGTGTGTGTGTGTGTGCGTCTGCATGCTTCCTGTGGTCAATCCATCCGCCGACCCGCGCCGACCCTCCTCTCACCTCACCTTCACTGGCAATGACAAGGGGGGGGTTAGGCTGCGATCCCCTACAGTCGCTCTTCTGTTCTCCTAACCTTCTCCGTCTGATGTGTTCGGCTGTGAGTACCGCCGGCCTGTCAGACAAAGTCATGTTGCATCTAGTGAGGACCTAGTGTCACAAATGGAAGAGCTGCTGGTTGCAGAGAAGGACAGCGCACAGCACTGTGGAGAGCGCCACAGCGAGCCGCGGCGGATACAACAAAGACCGAAGGAAGCAGCTACCCTACTGACGCAACGCTATTGTCCTGGTTTCTGAGGTGCATAGGGTGACGAGAAGAAGTCGAGCCGTAACAACAGGGAGAAACATCCCCTGCGCCAGAATAGTAATGATAACACTATGCATGGTTTGACATTTCTAGAAAGAGTGTTTTGTTTTGTTTTTTTTTTTTTCTATATTGAGGTGGCGTCGTTTTGGCCACAGTGCAAGGGAAGGACTAGGGAAAATGGGAAATGTACAAGAGAGTACGATGCATAATGAATCCTCTCCTTCACTCATCTTTTCTACAGAGCCATCAGAAGTCCTTTGAAAAAGAAGGCGAGTGAGCGGAGAGTTTTAGGTAAAGGGAAAAAGAGACACATAATACTTGTACTCCTTCCCACTGTTCCTTTCCCTTGCTATTCTATCAGACATTTAAACTATTGGATGTTTCCCCCCTTAACAATTGCTGTTTGTTGATCTTTTTTTTTTATTATTATTTTTTTCTAGCTTCACAGTGTGCTTTTGGAGTGGATGTTTCTGACGGGATGAAGTCACAGGACGATGTGTCAGTAAGGAGAGAAGAGGATCGGCCCATGGGTGGTGCGGATGGGCCCAGGGGCGGGTCTCAAGATGGCGTGGCTGAGAGGTGGGCCTTGCAAGAGGTGGTGGGGGTGGTGGTGAGGGCCAGGGGCAGCTGCGCGGAGAGCCAGCGGGTTCGAGGATGCAGCCGCGGCCATGGCTGCGGCGACGGCCAACGGGTTGGGCAACAGCCCCGCACCCAAAGCTTTGGTGAGATCCTTGGAGAAGGTCAAAGAAGACTGAAAACAGAAACCAGAGGGGGGAGAGGCAAGTAGGACAGGAACAATGTGATCAGTTCAAAAGCATCAGTACGTTATCAATAATCAGATGTTCTTCAACACCTTGTAAAAATCTAGTTTTTTAAGTTCTATGAATTTACTGTCAGTAATACTTCACCTCATTTGACTTACCATGTGAAAAGTAAAGATCCAAAGTATATTTTCAGTTTTGGGGTTTTACAGGCAACATCTAGAGAATTTATCTTTCGGACAATAAGTCAAATTTTTTTTTATCACAACTATATTTTGTTTCTCTTCATTTTTAAACAAAATAAATAAATGTCCATCCCTGATAAGCAGATATTAAATGTCGACACATTCACAACACTTACTTTGGCACAGGTTTAGCTAAAAATGGGCTGAGCAGTTTAGTTCCCACTCCATCTCAAATATGGTGGGTGAGAGAACTAAAGGAGTAGTGCGATGCTTTGAAGGCTTATTCAGATTCAGCTCCTTTCCCCGTTCTTCTCACTGGCTGCAGATTGTCTGACTGAAGATGCCAGTTGATCAGAGAGATAATTGCAGAGACTCTGCAACTGTGGAGTAAATGTTTGGGTTTTCCTACAGGCTATTTATGGTTAGGTTATTTGTGTTACAGTCTTGAAGCATGTCATTGGGAATAGAGAGCATAGCGAACTTGTTCATCTCAGAAAACAGCAAGAGTCAATGGTCTCATGAGAGAAAGCATGTCAAATACTGATGTGTCTCACTGAAATAATTGCTCTCAGTTCAAGTTATATTAAATTCATAAAATCAGTTTAAACCCAACTAGCTGTTCTCGGCTTTCTGCAAACTCCTTGCAATATGGGTCACAGCTCCTTCATAATACAGTTTGACTTAGTATTATCAATAGCTTCAAGATCTTCCTTTAAAAAAATGAAACTATCAATATTTGTTTGATGAAATGTGATGAAACTCAAGTCGTTACCGTCAGATCCGCGCCCCTGTGCTTCTTATGTCGGCTGAGGAGGGGGTTAGGCTTTCCTGCCATGCCGTCCCGATGCCGCCGGCTTGATATGTGCTAAAAACACACAACAAAGGAGACCAAGTTTGTGGTTTGGATACTTTTCTTGATTATGTACTGATTCAAAAACATTTCATTCACCACTATGAGTTGTGTTTAAAAAAAATGTACATCACTGACTACCACAAGATTTTCCAACGTTGTGAAGTCCGAATTTAAATTCAGGAAATCTGTTTTTTAGATTCAGTGTATGGAAAACTATGTAATACACACTTCTCAAACGCAAAGGGAAGGATGACAAAACATCTTCCACCGACCTGTTTGAGTTGCAGTTCAGAGTTCACCCGCACGTTGCAAATCTCACAGTGGAAGGTTCGTTCCTGAGTGTTGGGGTCCACTGGCCCCCCTCCCTGCTCTCCACTGGGCTTTGGACCCAGGCGAGGGTACGCCTTAATAGGACCAAGCCCGCTTCGTGCCTCCAGTATGGTTTTGTGTTTAGTGCCTGCAGGCAGATAAACACACACAAACAAACAAACAAAAAGGAAAAAAAAAAATAAAATAAAATAAACCTTCTGTAAAAGTCTTCTGGATAGAAAAATTTTAACATGGAGGGTAAAATAATGCAGGTTAGCTAAATTTCCATTATCACAAAATGACTACATATCATCTGCTTCCTCTATAAAATAAATTAAAACGTGATGCATCACTGTTCGGCTCAAATTACAGATGCTGAAACAATGAAATAGAAGAAAAATAATTAAACTTGACAATATTGTGAAGTACTGTGAGTCTTCATCAGTAAATCAATAACCACTAAAGTGGAACAGAAATCAGAACTCTTCAGTTTGATAAAGCTTTCGTCCACAAGGTGGCAGTAAGACGAAAGCTGTGAAATAGTCAGTGTGAGACATCAGATATAAGTATCCTCTTATGTTGATACTTTAGTAACTTATTAAAAATATAAAAATTAAACATTGGAAACGACAGTACATTATGTACCATTAGAGCTGTGAGAAAGAAAAAATATATATTTCCACAACAAAAAGCAACCAAAACCCAGAAAAGATACTAGGGAAGTTAAAAAATGTCCATCTTTCCAAGATATTTTCTTAAATATTTTCGTCATGAAAGTGTTTGATTATATAAGCTTTTAATACTGTTAAGTGAATCACTAAATTGGGTTAAAATACAGAAGACCTTTTGAATTAGACATTAAAAACAAGTAAAAATTAAATTAAAAATAGAAATAATACTACACTCCCCAGAAATGAAAGAAAACCACTCAACCCTCATCAGCTGTAACTTTGACACAGTTTCAATTGAATTTGAGTAAATTTTTAAATCCCTTTGAACAAAGCAAAGGTCACCCAGAGGAAGGAGAAACTATGAGAGTGTGGAGAATGTGGAGGCGTCGCTGCAGGGACGCAACTGCACTGATAAGTTTTACTCGAAGCCAAAAATGTGCTCTCTGTTTTATTTTGGTCTGAGCACTGAGGATGGCCCTGGAGATCCGTTTGTCTTTGTAAGCTTGACTCACTTCATAAACACAAGTGTGGATGGCTTTCACTCCAAGAATCAAAAACAGGAAATGTTTGGAATGAAAACAAAATGTTCGAATGAAATCACTTTGTAATTTTTTTTTTTCCCCATTTTTGCGTGTTAGTCCATCAGCCACGCACTTGGTTCAAGCATCTGTCTCTGCATGACACATGCTTTATTTTTAAACTGAAAATGTATGAGTTTTTTATTTTAAGAATGAGTGAGGGTAATTGTTTCCATATTGCCTTCTGCCAACTTTCAGCTGGTTTAACTTTTAGTTTTCCAGGCCCTGAACTCTAGAAATACCCAGCAGGCTGAGACCGAGCACTGTGATTAGGAGTTAATAAATTAAAGTACTGTGTGTTCTTTCACTTTAAACATGCATCTGCATTTTGATGAGAAACACTAGCCCTAGTGGAGATATGCAACACAAATTGGCCTGCAGATAAATGAAAAAGGAGTCAATCAAAAGGGGGTGAAAAATAAAATCGAGGAAAATTGTGCTATAATGGTGGTAGTGACCGCCTTGCTATTGCTTATCCCACATTAAAAAGGCCTTATTGGCTGAGGAAGCTGGGCCTAATCTCCCAGGATGAGCAGGATGTAGTTTAATCAATAATCTGCCAATTCGTTATGGTACTGTGTCTCTTGCTGCTATTCAGTGCTGAGCATTTATGGCAGCTTTGACTTTTTTTTTTGTACATGGTAATGTTACAATTATCTAAGTGTGAAGTGAGAACAATGTGGTTTTTCAAGCAAAAGTCTCAAGAGTGTGGTGTGTATTTTCACCCCTGGCCTCCTTTACCCCCCATACACACACATACTGAGAAGAGTAATCAGAGTAATGGGGGATGGATACGAATCCACAAAGTATCATTTCCTTCCACCAGCAATTGTGCAGTACATGTTTGTCTATCAAATACAATCTCAATATAGCCCATTGAAATTTATTAGGTATTAATGCTTTTTAAACTTTTAAACAGTCGTCTTGCATGCAGACTTACTGTAAGTTGGGTCTGGAAGGATTAAAGTGAGCAACTGGCATCTCAGGGATAATCGTTACAGTAAGAATGTGCCGTGTTTCAGAGCTGTCTGGTACAATGTGTCCAGTGCTATTGTATATTCCTATTTACATCCCTCTGGCAGCGGTTACACAACCCAGCCATCATCATGAAAACGTTTAGACAGAGGACTTTCAGAGAGTATAGATAATAGACCTGGTGGAAATGGCAGAACTGATCTTGATTCAGTGGATTTGGGGTTCTGTCGAACATTACAGGCCTATGTGAGAGAAGAAAGTGAGCTTTCTGTTGAGTATGAACACAAGGTTAAACACTTTGAGACAACTCTTGAAACCTAGAAAGAAGTTCTCAGTTACATGGGCCAGGAATGTCAGTGTCAAACAGATCATTTATCTGCTGATCAGTGCAGTTCTTAGTGTGCTCTGTTGTGTCACGTCAACCCTTCATTTAAAGCTTTAAGATCCACATAGAAATCAGCTGTTGATAGGAACTGATTGATTTTTAGCCCAATCAATTCTAATTGGTGAGTGGACAGATAGAAACTCAAAAATCCAACTATTTCCCAAATCAGTTAACACATCATGAAAAAGTGTTAACAGATCACAGAAACAATGGAAACACTCCTGAGTTTTGACGTTAGAACTGAAGGAACAAAACCTGGGCAAATGATTTTGCAACATTAGTGAAGTGTTTAAAAATTAAGTCAAAAGGCATGCAGGTATCTGGAAGCTGTTTTGATGAAACCTTTACTTTCCATAATGTTAGCAGGTAATTCAGTCTGCAAGAGAGCGCAGGTTTTCAGAAAGTAACAGGAAGTCTAGAAGTAGGACAGCAAAGCTCCTGTGTTTTATCGTCAAAACATGCTAGAGTTGAAAACAGGTTTTTTGGGAATTTTTGAGTTAAGTTAGGAGCCACATGTTCTCTACAGATATAGATTGTGGTGTAAGTAATGCTAGCCACTTAAAGAATCCCATGAGAGGCTAATGGCTTTGCAGTACTAGCAAAACCCTCATAGGGATTTCTCTCCAACACCAGCAGTTTACAGTGTGGATTATATAAAGATTCAAAGGCAAAAAGGCTACAAAAAATATTTTGAATGCTGCATCTCTGATTTACAACTGCTTGTAGGTTTCTATGTGCAGATTTCAAAGTTAAGAAAATCATAAAATTGCCTGTGAACATATTTGCATTTCTTGATGAATTCTATATGTTAAGAAAACAAAGAAACAAGTACTTTAGAAGAATCCAAGAGACTCATTAAACTTACGAAGTTGCAACATTTGAATTTCTATCAACTTTCATCTGAACTGCTCTCTGTCTGCACACATTAAGCATGCTTTGGGGTTTTCATTTTATTCAGAATGCAGCCATTACCCACCTTTGTTGTGGGCTTCAAGCTGTGAGAGTGAATTGACAGCCACCTTGCACAGTGAGCAGTACAGCAGCTTTTTGGCCTTGTCTTCCTCCGTCTCCGGGTTGGACGGGCTGCTGGAAGCTGGAGCGGCTGACACTCCTGAAGCTGGTGGTCCAGACCCGGGCTGGTCTGAGCTGGCGCTGCCGCAGCCGGGGGAGGAGCTGGCCGGGGGGACCAAGGGGAGAGTCTGAGTTGGAAGAAGTGGGCACACTGACGTCAGGGGGGAATCCATGGGCGGGGTGGGTGGATTGGGTAGTGAGGGAAGGGGCCCTGAAGCCAGAAGGGGCTCGCTTAACTGCGACAGAGGTCGTGTATCATCTGGGTAAATGAAAGAGAAAATGATTAAAAAAAAGAGTCAAATACCCAATTTTATAGAGCCAACAGAGTAGTTGAAACAAAATATAATTTTATTAAATGTAACCATACCATCAGCCACTCCCTGTTGAATATGGCAGTTGAGGTTCGCTCCGTAGATCAAACCAACCAACAAAAAGCTTTTTGCAACCTGTTTTTTTTAAATTTACTACGCTGTAATTTATAATGGGTTTGGAAAAGGCCTTTTAATTAAAGTTATACAGTGAAGGAAATACCAGAATGCTGTGTGTAAAGGGAGGAATGTGCATCCAACATATCTGAGGGCTTCATCGTTCCTTGATGTGATCTGGCTGTGTTAACATTTACCAAAGAGACAAATAGGAAGCACAGACCACAGTGTGTTTCTGCTTCTGCCAAAGCACCTGTTATTATTATTTTTAAAAGATTTGGTTAAAACAGTGATGATTCAAGTTCATAAATTCCAGAAGCGTTTTATTAAACAGTGGCGCCAGTATAGGAGCCAGTTTGCTCCTGTCAGACTGCCGCAGGGCAGCTGTGGATACAATCCAGTAGCTGGTCATCATGAATGGGAATGACTGATGTCATTGTAACACGTCTTTTGAGGGTCCTAAAAGCGCTTTATAAGCCTGATGTCATTTTAGTTCATGCTTTATCTTTGCCTGTGTGTGCAGTGGTGGTTCCTGCAGAAACGGTGCCCTGGTGCAACATCTTCCTTATGCACCATCCAGGCTTTTGACCAGTCTGTATGTTGAAGTTTGTGGACTCCTGCCAGTATATGGGGGGGTAAGAGGGGGATGAACTCTAAAATAATACAAAATTAAAGTTTTTGCGTGTTCACTAGTAATATAAAGGCTTCATAAATCTCAGATTCCTTTTTAATGCATCTGTTTTCAGAGCAGCATTTTCTAGTAAAATAGATGGGTTTTAAGATGAGCTTTAAATACCCCTTATTATTAAATAACCCCTTATTTATTGACATCCTGGGGCATACTGCCCCCCATAAAAACTGCCTCTCCCTGTGTGAATCTACACTTCTGTCTTGTTTTTAATCAGTTACCATATACAGTGCCCCCCCCCCACTCTTAGCTATGATGCATAAAAATCCTTAAAATAAAATCCTGCATTGGATCCATGCTCTTATACTGAAAATTTAGAATTGAATTTGAGCATGCTCAATTATATGCTCAATTATATTTGAATATTGCTATTTGTTTTCAAGTTAATAAAGCATTTAACCTAAATGTTGAGAATTAATTAGAAGCTTTGCAAAGCAACAATGTCATTATCTGGGCTTTCTGTATTATTTAAAGACTGTCCAGGAACTTCTAATTCTATGACATAACCTTGACTGTGGAAAATTGAAAATGGGTCACCACTGTGGTCTTTATTGGGACGATGATCCAAAACATCTGGTCAAGTCAACTTATAAATGCTTCACCTGACACAAACTACACCTTCTACCAGACCTAAAATCAAGGAAAACCTGTGGGGTGAGCTGAAGAAAAGAGAAAACAACAAAGGTCAAGAGCTCTTGAGAAAAAGCAAAGATGAATGGTCATATATCCTTCTCAATGTCAGCTCCAACCAGGTGCCAAGTGACTGTGACAATGGTGATATTATACAACTACGATTTCTTAAGATTAAATCCTTTTCCCTCGTTGAATAAAAGCACTTAAATTAAGGGTTTCACTGAAAGCATAAATGTCAGATTAAAGAGCTGCAAAAGCAGGTTAATGTATTTGAAGGCATTTTTACCAGGGACGCCAGTAAGCAAAATAGCTGTATACATTTCCACACATGTGTTTCTGGTCAGCTACACCCACAATCAAGACCATCGGTATTCACTAAATAGAGAGTGCTGAAAAAAATATCCCCCCCCCTGCATTTGGGTGGGGTATTCATACACTCTCAAAAGCAGAGACTGTGTGGCCCGTACCCAAACTCTACAGAAACCAATCTGATGATCGGCACCAGAAAGCCTCTCTTGCATGTAAAGCTAAAGGAGCGTTGTACAGCATTTCTGGAAAGTAGGCTTTGTTTGCTTGAAATGCCTAATTCACATCTATGTGTTCTCATACAGCATTGCCTTTTGTGACAGAAATACCACAATGATAGATGATATGTTTATTTCATCTGTAGGCTTATGTGATTATATTGTAATTGGTGCCTTTTGGTTAGTGCTCCCCTTTCAGCCGGTTTCGGTCAAGCTCTTGTAAGTTTGTTCCTGTCCACTGCTTCCCAAAATCAAAATTCCTTTATTCCATACTGGTTTCCAGTTGCAGCACTGCAACGAACATTTGTTCAACATATGTGCATTCAAAAGGAATTTAAAAAATATATATGTATTTTCTGCTTTGGCTTCTCATGCGACATTGAGAAGTCTATTAAGAAATTCGGTATTAATAGTTGTTTTAGAAAACATGCAAGCCCTGCACAACATATGTTTTGGTTCATAATCAGTCAGGAAAAAACATGAGTGTGTTGCCAAGTAGTTAGAAATAATTTTAGAATCCCAGTCTGAGATTGCAGACAGACATCTCTCTGTTTCTCCTCATGCACTAATTAGATACACCCTGCAGGGCCTGTATTAATATTTACAATAAAACAACTTCACTTTCAAGCTTTTCAACACTGAGGGCAAAAAAAAAAAATCATTCTGCAACAGTTAAAGCAATCAAAGAACAATTTTCATTAAATTATATAAAATCATCATATATTATGTGAAGTTAAAACCGTTTTGTTTGATATATTGATATTAACCCCCATAAGGAATGTATTTTTTTTTTTCTTTTGCACAATCTTTGTGCCAGAGTTATCCGATTCTCCTACAACTGTGGATGTTCTGTCAGTCTACTTAATCATTTACAAAGCAGCTCCCTCATGGCCAAGCATAGGAAGTTCCTATTATTGGGGGAGAGGTCATGAGGGGTGAGATAACTCAATCCAGATGCTTTACACTTACCCTGGTGAGTCTGTGCTGGCCTTAATCCACTTCGGGAAATTAAAGCAACTTATTGGATGGGCCCAGGGGGAAAAGGATTTGTTGACCAAAGCATCTCATCGAATGCAAACAAATTCCACACAACAATTTGTTGTCAACAGACGAAGGTTGCATACGGAGAACGCGTTAAAATCTGTTCTGAGCTACAAGAAATGTTGAGGAAAAAAATATACGATTGCAAATAATACTGGGGCTGATTATTTTTTATTTCTGTATATTTTGCAAGAGTTAAATGAGAAATTGTGTGGTAATAAATCCTGTGGAAAGAGGAGACATAAAGAAGTGATGCATAATTAATGAGAGTTCTTATTTGTTAAAAATATTGGGATTTTTTTGTGAAAAATTAAATACTGTGCGGTTGGTTGAACTGAATAACCAAATTAGTGTATTTGGTCCAACTTTCTGTGATTGTATCTCAAATGTAGTTGTTACGTGAAGGCCTCAAATGTTTGCTAGAGAACATCAGTAAACAATCAGCTGTTGGATATGGAAACGTTCAGAGCAGGATTTGGTTACGAACATCATGTCAACTGTCGCAGAGCGTTGCTCGCTCCATCTTTATAACACAACACCAAACCTCCAAAGTCATGATCCGTCAACAGAAACTGAGACCAGGCAAGCAGAGCATTAATCAAAAATAAGCAGCCAAGAGCCTCACGTTGACGCTAAAGAAGCTACAGAGACCGAGAGCCAAGATCGAAGACTTTGTCAACAGAACAGCTCTCGCTGACATTTATAGGGTGGCGAGAAGCAAGCAATGAGAAGTTGTTTGCAGTTTTTCACAAGCCATGCCGGCTTGGAAAACAAGCCGGCATGGCTTTTACACTTCCTTTATGTAAGCGTAAAAGAATGAGTTAAATAGCATCAGAATTGAGCTTTTTGATGTCGATCCAAATGCTCTGCAGCTGACTGCACCGTCGCCATCTTTAAAGTTAGTGGTGGAAGAATCATGCAGGTCAGATGAGCGAATTTAAACTTTCTGGCCTGCATGCAAAACATTACCTGCCTGCCAGTACATAGAGTTATTGGCAGGGAACATGATTGAAGCTGCAAAATGCTTGAAACTTCCAGCAAACTAGTCATCATAAACATAAAGCCAGTCTAATAGTTGGATGGTTCAGATAAAAGTACATTTATGTGTCAGAATGGTCCAGTCAAAGGCCATTCCTCTTTATTGAAATCCATGTTTAGAGTAGCAGCTGAAGCAAACATCAGTGTTACAGCTACAGGGGGTAAATAAATATAAATGCATTGCACACGTTTCAGATTTTTTAAAGTTTAAATCAACAAAACAGTATTTTACTTTACTTTCCCCTTACAAACTATGCACTGCTTTGTACTGACCTGTTTATTAAAACCTCAAATAAATGCATTAAAGTTTATGATTACATCATGAAGAAAATGAGAAAGATTGCAGGATCTATTAATACACATGCAGTGCAAATAAACCTGTCTAGCAGGTGACTGTGGATTCTGCAACCATTATTAATTATTAAAGATGAACGGAACCCAATGCTAGACTTGCATCCATAATGCATTTTCCCAGTTTGCTCTTAATTTGAACTCTGAGTCATGCAACGAGACATTCCAGCTAGCAACTAACGTGCATCTTGTTTTATTAGGTGCAACTGTTTCAGACAGATTTGACCCAAGAAACTCCTGCTGAAACGAAACGTGTATAAACGGACTTTGGCTCAACAAACGGAGCATGAAAGACTATCAGCTCTGCGTAACCCAATTCTACCGTCAGGTCCCCGCTGTGCAACCCAAGCCATCACATGAAAGTCATCTGTTTAACTGACCTTGGGTGTGTGTGAGTGTTTGTGTGCTGTAATATGAGGGTGGTTTTACTGTGGTCCGTCATTAAAGTAGGAGTGTCAGACTGTAGAATGATAAAGAGGAAAGGCGAAGGAGGAAGGGGGCGAGTTTCTCTCCAGTAGTGTAACAGCTGCCATGCTCTCTACTGCAGGCCTCGCCAAAACCTCTTCTCACCATGTCCAAATCCCTCAAAGCCAAGGGCCTCCTCTTTAGGGACAACAACAACCACAAAGCCTCTGAGGGATGTAAAACTCCCTCTGTGAACTGTACTGTTGAGCGGGCGACAGGATTCAGATCATAACCTCTCACAGCTTCAGCCCTCAGCAAGGTCCCCAAATGTCATGTTCGCGGTCGTCACTTCTGACTGCGTTTGATGTATTAATGAAAAACGATGGCACACACAAAACGAAGGTCGGTGTAGACATGGTAGCCCAGGCCGCTACTGCTTTACATCTGTTTCTCTCTAAAGTCAAACAGATATAAGCAGAAAGATCTTCCACACCAAAAAAAAAAAAAAAAATCAGGGCAAAAAACAAAGGCAGTTAAGCCTCTGTGGGAACTTTACTCTTCCATCTGAATATTTTTGCTTGACCGTATTGTTTATTTATGTTTACACAACTTTATGGCTATAACCTCCTGTGTCTGTCCCAGAGCGGGCTCCACGTCCCACATCACAATGTCTGTCCCCAGACAATGCTTTCCCAGTTGAGGAAGTGCACAGCTGCATGCTCCCAGAAATCTGTCTAGCCACCACTGAGCTGAAGATCAATCTGAAGACACACACACACACACACACACACATACACACAACCCAGCATGCATGCTGCAAGATCGGGAAGAGGCAAGGTTCCAGGGTCACGAGAAAAAGGCTTGGATGGAAAAAGGCATTCTTTCACATGTTTCTACTTTCGGATCTCCATCATGGCAGGCCTCTCGTTCAGTTGGTTCTTGTCTCAGAAATATCAGTAATGGGGACTGATTTAGGGGGTTGATCCCATAAATCCCCGAGGGGGAAAAAAAGACTAAAAAGAACAGGAGCTACAATTTTTCTGGGACCAGCTACAATAAAAAATGTACCAAGGCAAAGGCAGGGAAATGCTAAGATGTTTGCTCTGGTGGTCTTTATCAAACAGGAGTTTATTTTCTTTTTTTTTTTTTCCCCCCCCCTTTTTTTCATTTGAATGTTTGCACTGAGGTCCCACATCGGTACCCTGAAAATGTCTTGTAAACAGTCAGCTACAGAAACCTTTGTAAATGTCAGTGAAACGTGGCAGGTCTATTCAACGCCTGGTGTTTGATCCAAACCTTCTGCGACACAGACAGAACGGAAAGCTCGACAACACAAAAGAAGACGGGCTAAATGCAGACAGTACTGCGAATTATCGCTTGAAATAAGAAGGGAAGGAGAGCTAAGACTAAGACAGCAGGGGTAAAGCTAGAAATGTTCTGCTAAGAAATGAGCTCGCACTGTCCCTCCTCACCATTAATCATCTGGCCAAAAGTAAATAAAGTCTCATTAAAGTCAGATCAGCTGCTGTCACTGTCCTTTATGACTCTGTGCCATAAAGGACAGTCTCATCTTTATTTATAATCAATCAGTATTAGCACCTATTACCACCATGTTTAAACTAATACGCCATGTTCTATTCTGATTCAGCTACAAATTGCATAGTACCTTCCAGAAGGTCATTTAGGAGTGGTACACCACCGTGCGTGAAAAAGTAATCACTCCCCCATTCGACCTTTCCACATATTGTCATGTCATGTCTAACGACTTCAATGTATTTTATTGGGATTTTATGTAAAAGTACTGGGTAATTTTGCAGTGGAAGGAAAACCATGCGATGTGTCTTCACTGGAGTCATAACTGGGGTTTATCTACTAGGTCTGAAATTGCTGCCATTCTGAGCCTCAACTCAGTCTGACTGAATGCAGAGTGTCTGTAAACATGAATAAAGTTTGTGTTGTGGAAATAAACGCCCACTCAGTTGGACTCTGTTCACTAAGTCGATGATTACAGGTTTTAATTTAGGGGGTATGAGAGTAAAAGGTGTGATCACAAATGCTTTTTAGGTATAGATTTTTTGTTAAACAATAATTGAAAACCATGTATCAGTTTCCAACCACTACAAAGTTATAAAACTACCTTGTGCATGAAGAGCCAATTAAATACATTGACGTCTGTGGTTGGAATGTGACAAAAGGTGAGGAAAGCATCCTAGTGGTGTGAATCCAGGCAGCTGTATATTTATAATAATTTGTTGGCTTGACTCTCACGCTCAGTGTGATTTACTGAAACTGGTTTTAGCTGTGAATCAGAAAAATATTTTACTGTATAATAATCTGTTAGCAGGCTTCGTGAGGTGGAGTTTCTGCAGCCAAATGCAACCACACAAAGAACTTTTTTTTGTTTGTTTTTTTTTTTTTTTTCCTCAGAGCAAGTTACTGCAAAGCCACAGCGATTAAAATAATTTGTTATTCCAGCATATTTCCCATCATGTATAACATGAACACCAATCCCCGAACATTCCTGTGTGGAACAAGTTGACTATGTTTGCAATTAGAGGATCACACACAGGCTCTTTCTACATCTTCTGCTCTCTCACCTGCTTTGCCAGGATCACAATCCTGGGAAATGCCAGGGGCTCCAGGTGGAGACGGGGATGAGGTCTGGGTCAGGGCGTGAGGCTTGTCCCCCTCCTGGGGGCGACTCTTGGACGTTTCAATGCCTTTGACTCTCCTGGCATGGCGGTTCCCCTTGTAATGGGCCTCCGCCTGGCTCTGAGAGACGACAAGGAATGCAAGTTTGTATGTTGAAAGAATACACCACCACCAACAACAAGTTGAGTAAAGGTAGGATTATATCCTCTGTCATGCCTGCTGGTGAAACCATGGCCGTACGCTAGTATGTTAACTAATCTATTTAGAAGTCAATAGGCAGACAGGAGGCTTCAGGAGGAGGTAGACTAAAGGACGATAAGATAAAATGATGCAATGACACGTTGATTATATGTAAATACGGATAGAATTTATCACCACAACGTTTTGATGAATGGGTATGAATTTTTAATTTGAACATAAAACATAGAACAGCAGAGTTTTATTTATTTAACCTAAATGAGGGGAAAAGAGATCGTCGGCTTCACAATGGTGTTTTTCTAGAAGAGAATGAGAACAACATTTGAATGCTGCGTCATTTAGAGTTCATTAGCGTAACAGCAAGAGGTGTAAGGTCTCTCACTGTTAGAGGAGGAGGTGTAGTAGAAAGCTCAAAGGCACTGATCTGTTTCTAATCAGTTTTAACACCTGGAACCAGTCTTGATGGAAGTGTTTTGGTAATTTGAAAAAGTAATGTGCACCTGCACTGCCTCCACAATAACTGAAAAAAGCAACTGTCGTTTTTCTTTTTGTTTTGTTTTGTATTTTTTCAATGTGAAAAAAACATTTTAGGAAATGATCCTGTCATATTATTTCTGCAATATTTCTACTATATTCTGTTATACACATATGTATATTGCTTGCAACTGACTTGAATAGCTTTGTAGAGCCAGAAGAATGGGGAAGAATGTTACTTGCTGGAGACAGCTGAAGTTTTATATTTGTTCGCATTTGAAAAGTTAAAAAGTTATAGTTGCCGCTACTTCTGTGGGGATTACGTCAGACAACAGCGCCAAGTTCAGTGTTTCTGTCACTGCTGTGCAGAAACGCTCAAAGGCACGACACATTAGCACCTCTCTGAGCCCGTCAGAAACAAACAGAACTTTGAAATGGTAAGGTGTCTGTTGGCAGACAGACAGAGATCTGTGGACATACTGCGTAAAGATTGCTGCAATAATTTACAGATGTTCTAGCACACATGTTGAGCAGCCCGTATGTAGTAAAGCAGACCTGATATTTCAAAGATGAAAGGATCAGGATCAGTGTGCTGCGCAGACAGACAGGTCCAGAGAAAGCATGACTCAAAGTGTGATGAGAGGATCTGCGCTGCTTATGATGAAACGGCTCACCACGTTGCAGTTAGTTCCCTAAAACGCAGGCCGGTGAGTTCGCAGCTGGAGCGTTTGTTTAATGTTAGATTCTGATGGATTGAGAGAGGACTGATGATAATTTCAACAGGAAAAGATGCGTGTCAGTCAGAGCGGAGCTAGAGCTCTGATGTCAGAGCTGAAGACTGCTGAAAAGAAGAAGGGAAAAAAAAGTACAATTGAATAAGTGACAAAAACAACAGATTCAGAGAGAGAGGCCATGAGGTTGGAATGCAAACTCAATAACAGCGAGGTTTAGTTTTACCAGTATGGGGAGCAGAATTCCCAGCCGGCAGCGACTACACAGGAGAGTTTGTGTTTCATACAGTTGTTGAAAGGACGGAAAGAAGGAACACTTCATTAAAGAACTCAGTATACAGTATGAAATGTAAACATATCAACTGTACGTTTTATTTAATTTGTTCTGGACGTTTTCTTTGGCAAGAATGCCACTGAGTAATGTCCAACAGCAGACATGGTGGCAGATGTTTTTATTAAACCTGCCACATAGTTTAAGACGTATTTGGAATGCAAACAACAAAGGACTTGCTGTAGCGGACGAGATTGTACCGAGTAGTACTTACACAGAGAAAGAAAACATGCTGGCCAGGGAAAATGTGCTTCATCTCTGGCTCTTTAAGCGGTATTGTTATTGTTAGGTTTTCTTGCAACCATCTAGATGCACTTTATGAACCAAGCCAATAAACAAGAGCTTTTTCTTACTGTAAGAGCTACTTACTTTTTCAGGTTGGGCGACTTGTTTAATGAATGAAAGAAAATAAGATATTAATTTAACTACCTCTTGATTGATCTTTGTTTTGCTGTGGTGTGCAGGTAGCCATCACATGTTTGTTTATGATGGGGTTTATAATTACTCCTAGCACAGAACCTGCCTGGATGCACTTTGATTAGAGATTATAACATATTTGAAACCCTACTTTAAAGTTTTGGGGGGTTAAATTTTGTCGGACTTCACTTTACAGATGATTTGAATTGCTATGTTTTAGAATCATGTCCCACCTATTGATCAATCTTAAATTTACTATTTTTCTATTTCTGGTATACATTTACACAAGATTTAGGATTGAGATTATGCATATTTTTACCATCCTTCCAGTAGTATAATTTGTGAGATCAGACACTGATGTTGGATGAGAAGACCTGGTTTACTCTTTATGCTCCAATTAATCTCAAAAGTTGTATGAGCTTAAGATCTGGGCTGAATTCATTCAATCAGTGAATCAGTGTTTTTGTCAAAATAGTGTAAATCTTTCCACATTCACTACCTTTTATGCTCAAACCTGAAACTGGTTTTAGTGACAAAAGGATGAAGGACCTGACAAAGGAAAACAAAATAAATATCATCGTCACAATATTAAACAATAATTTCGCAATGTCATGTTATCTTAATATACTTCAACCGTAAATCCCGGCTTGAAAAAAATGGCACATAGATCATTTCCAGAAGCTAGTAAAGATGATCTCTTGATGACAGACTACGTAGCAGCTAATGTGTTTGTTCACAGAGTCAATTGTCCGGAGATTACACAGACATTAAGACCGTCTGTCTCTAGCCACAGTGTTACTATACAGAGGTATGTGAGTCAGGAACAACATGCTGGGTGGGATGCGGTTTATGTGCAGAGAGATGTCACCTAAAGCCTAAATATACAACATGGTGACAGTAAAACAAAACAGAAATCACCTCAGAAGGCGCACAAACTACAACACGTAGTCTAATAACGCACAAGTCAAATGTGTGTAAACCTATTTGCTGTGTCTTACTCCGTACTTATCTTATTCAGTGAAAAGCACAAACAGGCTCCTCGCTGATATATTTGGTGCTTATGTATTTGGTTCTGCATTTGACTCCCCCAAGTACGTTAAGCGAACTGATTCGCCTTTAAGGAAGCTGGTCCGACCAGTTAATTTTCCCTGAGAGCCCAACAATGTCTGTATTGATTCAGGAGGCTGGATTACTTATAGTTGCCAGGGAGGGATTTGGTCTCGATGAGGAGCTGACAGCTGCGATGAGCGCTGAAAGGCTTAGACACTTTGACTGACACTTAGGACATCAAGCTGATAACAGGCTCAAGTGTGGAGATAGCCTGGCTTGGTAAAAGCAGGCAGGGGGTGATGAGTAATGTTACCAAGTCTGGTTGTTTATGTTAGCTTCATGTGCTACAGCATCTCAGACGGGAACTGTCAGGACGAACCTTAAAGGGATAGGCCACAAGTTCTGTTAAAAGTTTATAACCAGTTAATTAAAATTTCATGCTCTTGGAGCGGTTTTGCAACAAAATGGTGAGGAAATACTGACTGCTGTTTCTAAAAGAAAAGGTTCAACAAAGTATCAGCTGAAAGGTTATGTTTTTTTAATTATTTAATGTTTTTCCTCAATTGATTTGAACAAGGTGCACGTCACGTTACAGGTGGGGAAAGACCTGCACACCTGCAATCTTAAGAGGTGAAATAACTGCTTTTTATGTTTTGACCAAATCTCCTCCAAAATCCTAAAATTGCCCTTCTGAGCCTCTGCAGCACTGTTTTGAGGAACACATGTTTCCTGTAAATTCAGATTTTAACTATTCCCTGTCAAAATGAACATGCTGAAGCACTCTGGCAAAGCTCACGGATTAAGGTGGAAAAAGTTATGGAGGCTGGAAAGAAAGAAGTGATGACTCAGAGGAAAAAGTGGATATAGGGAGATAGGGAAGTTTACAAATGCCATCTTATCCTCTCCTATCAGCTGCAAGAGATCCAAGTGTCATATAATGCAGAAACAGTGTATAGAAATTTAACTCCACTCTTGCATAGAACTTTACTAAAATGGAAATCAAATAACAGAAAAAATGTATCCCGGATATGTGAATGCTGCTGCTCATTATAATAAAGTCTAAACAACAGGATTATCTGGAGATGATGAAGTATGGCTACTGAGCTTGGGACAAGACAAAGACGGGGAAAATGTTTGGAAACGTTGAAGAAATGAGAAAAGAAGACACGCAGTGAGGAGACAAGGACAAATATAAAAGATGTACATCAGCCCGTTTCTGCTGCAGCGACTGTGACGTCAGCCAATGCAGCTCCACAGAGACTGTGATGTCACTATTGCAGCATGCCACCAAGGTTATTCTGCATTACCCAGCATTTAGCACCTCACACCACCACACAGCGCTCACACAACAGGGAGCAAACCCCCCACTCTCCCCTCCCATCTCCTTCTCCTGTCCTTCTCCTCCAAGTCCCCTCTCTCCACCAGTTTCCCAAGATGCAAAGCTGCTGTCGGAGCTAGACGCTAATGCATGCCCTTGACGAATGCATCTTATAAGAAGTAGTGGCAGGCAATTTTAGGGTTTTCCACACTGTAAATAATGCAGTGTGGAGAGAGGGAGGAAAACAGAAAGACGGGGCGAAGGTCGCTCAAACAGGAAGCGAAAAACAGGAAGAGTGGAGAGAAGAGCTAATGGCAGGTGGGGGGTGAGGGAGTCGTGGGGTCGTGTAGAGGCAAAATGTGTTCTGAAATTGAAAGTTCAGGTTTACTGTAACATTTGGCTCTTTACAGAAGCAAAACATTTTGAGCAGAGAGCTAATCTTTTTCAATAAGGTTTGTTTTTCTCCAGCTTAGAGAGAAAACAAAGCATCGCAGTAACAAAGTGTTAGTTTGCAGATGAATCGCAGTTTGTCCTCTCATCCTTGGTCACGTTTGAAATGATCGCGTGAGGGAGGAGTCGGTGCATTCCTGCACAACATGCTCTTAAAATTGAGCCAGACTGACACCTACAATTAACAAGCGCTCAAAACTACTCAACATTTTTGTTTTAGTCTACAAAAAGTTTGAATCCTAATGATGATAGCTCTGCATTAAAGTTTGCTCATCTCTAAATCTAGTGGACTGTTCATCTTTTGAAGTCAGTTTTGAAAGATTAGAAACATAATTATTTTCATCAGGTCGTTGAAATTCAAGATGGCAGAAATGGTCCTCCCACTATACCTAATAACTTTGAAGAAACCACTAACATTCTTTATATAATTCAATACCACAGTCAGTTTTTCAATTAATTTTAAATTATGACTTGCTGGCTAACATTTCACCCTTATAACAAAACCACTTTCGCATTCTATGCATGTGATCCACAGAAGTCCCAGTTGGCGTTTGCCTTCAGAACAGAGAATGGACAATGAACACAAATTAAGATGGTCTGAAGTGTCTACTCCTGTTTTTATCTCACATTATGTTCTACAGTGAAGTTCACTTGTATTCCGTATAGCTACAGAAAACCCCCTAGGCTATGTGTTGAGAACCCTGCTATGTTTCCAGATGTTACATAAATGAAAATTGAGTGGAAGTGGGTCAGAAAGTGAACCAATTTGGACAGGACTGATTTTAAAGAGCCAATCATAAATCATGTAGGAATCAATCACATTTCATTGTAGTTTCTTGTAAAGATCTCTTAAGCATTATGACATGAGAACTCAAAAATAAAATTATTAAAGACATGAACAGAAGGGAGTATGATTTCCATCGTTTCTTGTGTAAGTTTCTGCTGCCTGATTAGTAAGTTGGATTATACCAACTTTAAAGCAGTCACACTTGTGAGTTTTGCAGCTGCGTTAATGCCTCTTCTTTACAGATTTATATCCATAGCAACATCTACCATAACTTCTAAACTAAAGGGCCCCCAGCACGTGATCTCCAGCAAGCAGGTCTCAAAGTATTTCTTACGTAAACATGTCTGACTGCTTCCTGTTGCCTGTGAGGAAACAAGAGAAGTCTACAAAGAGAAGATTACAGCCCTGCTGCTGCCTAACCACACTGAAACCATGATTGTAGATGTGCAGTGTATATATAGCAGCGGTCCACTCCTAAATGTTATGTACTGTGCACGGCTGGACAGCAGGGTCCTCAATTCTCCCCGACAGAATCAGTAGAATCACACCTAAATTATACAGTGTGAACATGATATTTTTGCACCGATGTTGTCATGTTTCCATCCTCATTATCCACATGACAAAAATAAAAAATAAAAAAGCAGATGGTTTAGCATCACTATTCATGCCACACCTCTAGTTTTGGCTTCATTCATCAGTTGGCAGTCACATATGCAGGTTGGTGATGGGGGTGTGAGGTCTGTAATGTTTATGTGAACTGTCCCCGACATGTTTTAGAGCTCAGTCAAACTTCCTGCTGTTTATGCCGTCGTGCTTTAAGCCGCAGTGATTGGTGCTTCTGCTAACTCCATGCCGTCTTGAAATAAATTCCAGCGAGGTCAAATGAGCCAAAACATTGACCAGAGAAATGCACAACATCCTCTGCTCCACTGTCTGCTATGTGGGTCGGCGTAATGAGACAGAGAGCTGTCCAGCATATCCCAATGGGAGACATGTGGAGAAAACAATACTCTATAGCACAAACATAAAAGGTGCAAATTCTTTCACAACGCAATATGAGACGTGTTGCAGTGTGTCATAACTGATTTTCCAAACATTAAGCTCCGTTTGGTAGGCTGTAGAACCGCAACAGTAACTCAAATTCATCATGTTCTCTGTGATTTGGATGGTTGGGTAATTTGTCTCATTCCTAAATGCTGTTTATTACTATTTAACAGTTTAATATTCTGTTAAGTGAGGTAAGTGCCTGGCTTGATTAAGACTGCACTAAAACATTTCACAAATATTTTAAAAATAGTAAGATTCTTTCTACAGGTAAGCTCATATTTACTCATACCATTAACGTGCTTGCAGATTTAGATTTAAAATGAATATTTTAAGATTACTAACATGCTCCTTCTGACTGGAAGTAATATTAAAGTTTTGCAGCAGTTTTCCCAGAATACTGACCTGAATCTAATAATCTGTAGAGTGAGCTAGATATTAGGGTGATGGCAAGGAAGTATGAAATACTTGTAGATCATCACCAAAGATGTAAAAATTATAGTGGAAACGAGTAAAAAAAAAAAAAAAACTGGGTTTTACTAATGTAACACAGTGAAGATTGTTCCATTGCTTATGGAATAGTGCAAAAATATTTATTGACATACAATTTTTTTTTTTATAAAATAGTGATAACTCCTGACAGATGCCTGTCTCATTACTTATTAGAGACAGATGTCTTTGTTGAAAGAAGGTCCTTTTACATCTAAATGTGCCAAAGGTAAGAAAAAATGAAGGCTTAATTGTATATTTTATGTTTTATTTACCTAATTAAGCAAACCAGATAAGGACCGTGAATTTTCATAGTAATTTGTAAAAGTGTACACCCTCCTTAATCTTACGATTTGTAAAAAGCATTTACATTTTTTCAGAACCATTTATGTCACGTGGGATACATGCAGAAGGCTTCTATGATGTTCTCTTGTGTTCCTCTACCTCTGAGTTGAAGCGGATCTGACAGACGTTGCAGGAGATGACCGGCCGCTTGGTCTTGACCAGCGGCACTCCGAAGGTGTGGTTTATCACAGCCTTCTGCACGGGGTCCATCTGGGACAGGAGAAGACAAAAACAAGTGGGGGGGGG